AGGGAGGGAGGGGTGAAGGAAGCAATCTTAGTATGTTTCCAAGAGCCTATATGATGAAAAGAGGTAAGATGAAGATTTTATCTATGGAAAAATATAAAAATATAGGAAACCCATCCTCAGTTGCTCAAAACTTCTTTATGAATATGGATTCGCTGAAACCAGCGTACATCCTATTAATTCAATTTAATTTTAAATACTGACAATGTGTTAGAAGCTGTCACCTAGAAAATGATACTTCCAATCCCCCAGCACCTTAGGCAGGATGCTGCTTTAGTTCCAATAGTGGGGATCGCCCCTCTGGTCACACAACATTAGCCCCACACCATGAATGGTCTGCCTTTGAAACTTCCCCGGGGGAAATTCTCCACCTTCAGGTTATACCCTTAGAGAGGATTAAAAGAACAGCAAGCATTTCAGCAACTCCTAGTTCATGAGTTGGCTACTTTCCAGTTGTTCGGAGAGGGAGACAATGCTAGATTATTCTTCCAAGGATGAGATGTGATGGTGTCACTTAATATACTTACTTTGCTGACAGCTCTGGCCCACACCACCCTCTGCTCTGCTTGGGGACTGTCCATTGCTCTCTAGTGTATGATTAGCAGATTAGCTATCATGTAAGAAGCAGGAAAATGAACTCCCAGGAAGCCCTTCCAAAGCAGGAGTAATTCATTACCCGGCCTGATTTCCACTTAAAAGGTACTTTAAGCACACTTCCAACTACAAACCCTAAATCACCCTGTGTTCACAAAGTCCATCATTTTTTATTTTATTGCATGGCGTTGGCGTGACATAATCCCTCGCAGAGCATCTCGGAGTGCTTTACAGATCAATAAATCACTTACCTGCACAGCTGAAGCAGCATCTGCAAGGCCACCACCGTCATTCTGCAGGCAGCCTGTCCTCCAAGGAGCGGGCAAGACTGTGGGTGCCAAGGACGGCAGGCGCTGGGGCCAGAAGAGTGTATGGATTGGGGGAGTGGTGGTTCAAGAAGCGAATGCTCCGGTTAAAACTGTGAATAAGTTCCATCAAGTTTAACTGATTTTAGAACTAAGGGAGTTGAGAAATTTGGATCCTTTAGACAGTCAGCAAATCAGGTTTTCCATCATTAACTTGTCAATTATTTTTCTGTCTTGGAAGATCCACTCTAGCTTTTAAAAAGGCATAGCCGTAAGTCGCAACAGTATGTCTTAGAAGTCTGGGGTTGTAGATCCAGTGGTCACTCAATCCTCACCACACTAATTCTCCATTGTTTTTGTCCTACCGAGTACCTGTGAGGGTGCAGGTAAGTGTGTGTGCAATCATGCACACACACACACACACACACAAGCTGCCTCTCTATCTAAAGCTTGACGAATTTAAATCTAAAAACTATTAATTTTGCCCTGGCCACTGTGGCTCAGTTGGTTGGAGCACCATCCCATATACCAAAAAGTGGCAGGTTCGACTCCCCACCAGGGCACATACCCAGGTTGCGGGTTCAATCCTGGGTCGGGGTGCTTACGGGGAGGCAACCAATCAATGCTTTTCTCTCACATCTGTCTCCCTCTCTCTCTCTCCCCAATCCTCTCTCCAAAATCAATGTAAAATATCCTAGAGCGGGGATTAAAAAAAGTAAAAAATAATAAAAACGATTCATTGGTGCTTACGTTATGGAAGACACCCTATTCAAAACAGCAGAAGTTTGTTTGTTTTTTAAAAGAGTAAGGTTCTTACTCAATATCTTATATTTAGATAATTCATAACATAGAAGGAAGATGAAATAAATGTAACATAGAGAGTCAAGTTTAAATACTTTGAAGGAGCTATGGGATCCCCAGGGAGGAACGGTCACATCTTTTTGGAACTTACTTAGAAAACCTTGTGGAAAATATGGTCACACCACCAGGCCTTGAGCAAGGCCAACAGGTACAGCGAGTTGGAGAGATCTAAGTGATCAAAATCAGCTTCAAGGGCACCAGGGTAAAGAAACAGCGAAGACCACATGCTCATCAGTGGGTCTTCCCGTTGTGTGCCGTGGAGAGGAGTGGGAGGGGATTCTAAGGAGGGAAAGGAACCAAGGCTAAGGGAAGATATCTGCATGAGCCCCCCTTCTTATTAAGGAAGAAATCCAGCGCTAGATCAGTGCTCCAGGAAGCCAAGAGGGGAGCACTGACATTTCTGGCCAACCTGATTCTCCTGTGAGGGCTGCCCTATGGCGCTGGAACAGGGCATGGTGGGGGCTCAGCCTCCCTGGGGTCTCTGGCAGGCCAGATGGCACTGCATGCTGGCGGGCGACGTGCTCTGGAACGGCACGTTGCGGTGGCTTAGGCGGGTGCTTATTCAAGGAAAGAAGGGATCATGAAGAAACTTAAAAGAGCTGGGTGAAGGGGCCACTTAATTTGGGTAGAATTAATGAGTCAAATCCACTGTCAGTGAAACTGAAATGGTGTGTTAATGATCCAGTTCTGGGGTGGTTACAAACATGTAGCCGGTGGGGAAGGTGGTGGAACAACCATTATAATTCCCTCCTATAAATATCTGTTGAGCTTTTACTATGGATGTAAATGGAAGTAAGTCCTGGCTCAGGCCGTCAAAAAGCTCATGGTCTAGTGGATGAGAGGCACTAAGCCAGTAACCATAGCAGAGTGGGGCGAGCGCCAAGCCAGGTGCCGGACAGATGACACTCACTTTATAAACCAACTGGCAGACAAATGGGTAGTCGGACATGAACCAAAGATCCCATTTGCTAGTTTAGATGGTAATGGAGAATTAGGCTTAGATGCGCAGCAACAACGAGCTCCCAATTCTGAACCCCCGGGTGAGACCGATGCCCACAGGCAGCTGCTGGCTGTGCTGCGGGCTGTCCCGCACCTGTGGACATTGCCCTGTGGCGCGTGCACCAGGAGGAGTGCAACAGAACCTGGCCTCCTAAGGGAAGCCGGGCTCCCAAACTAAACACTGAACAGAGTGAGGGGCCCTGTCCCTGAATTTACAATGGAAACAAACCCCTCCTTCCGTTGAGGGACCGGTTTAGGGGACTGAGAGAAAGAGACCACGTGTGCCAGGCTGTGAGAACGCGGATGACAAGCAGCTGGCGTGTAGAGTTGACCGGGGGCAGAGAGGGGCCGAGGTCAGAAACACTGCAGCAAAGTAGCATCTGATCTGGACCTTACCGGGTGACAAGGAGCTTTCTGGGAAGGACATAAGGAACATTATGGACCCTGCATGCTTAATGGCTGGGAAGGACATGATGTGTTGGGGATGACAAGGGGATACGTTGAGGTGGAGTCTGGGGATGTCCATGAAAACCCCGGTCGGTGCTTGATTCTGAGCGGCCTGTAAGCTAGGAAAGTGTGCACGGGCACTACCAGCTGGGCAAGAGGGAGCAACTGGAGGCGTTTCGCAGAGGCGTGATATGATCAGAGTTGCATTAGGTGGACTCCAAATGCAGTGTGGGGAGGGGCTCATGGGTGCGTGTCGGGGTTGGGGTGACAGCGCAGACGGGAAGGGAGCGGAGCCTAGGAGAGTGGTCACTGCAATGTTGCGCTGTAATCCCTTCCCATCAATGCCCTCTGACTTCGGGTTTAAATAGGAGGAAATAGAAACTAAATTCAAGGTAAGATGTTTCTTTTATGTTGAAAATAATCCCTCTGATTTCTCCTCATTTGTGCCTGTAACCCCTATACTTCAGTCCCGGGGCTATTCTGCCCACTATCATTGTAAGACAACAAAGAAATGTTTCAACAGAGTATTTATTTCCCTTCTACTGGCTTTTGTCTCTACAGTATCTCCCAAAATTGTAGAGATTTCTTCAGATATCTCCATCAACGAAGGGAGCAATATCAGCCTCACCTGCATAGCCACGGGTAGACCAGAGCCTACGGTCACCTGGAGACACATCTCCCCCAAAGGTAAGAAGAGCGCAGTGTGGTGTGTGTGGTGTCTTGCGAGGGCCTGGGAGGATTGCCAGCCACGACAAGGGGTCATGATGCCGGGGACTTCATCCGGAGGGGCCTGTGCTTTGAGTGGCCTGATGATGATGCTGGTGGCTCTGCAGAGGACTTGGGTGTTCTCCAAGGCAGGCCTGTCCGCTGAGACGCCAGCAGTCCTGCTTGAGCACATCTCCAACCCCCTGGAGCCGAGTCCCTGTTGGCCGTGGAGGAAATGCTGCTGAGGTGTCCTGGGCAAATGTCACTGGCCCTATCTCATGTTGGGACAGTTAGCTTTGGTGACATTGTTCTGCTGGTTGCTGTAAGAGATAGAAAACAAGCAAAATATTAAAGGAGAGCTTCGAATGGCTGCGTTTCTCAATGGAAACTTTCCGAATCTGTGCTTGTTCAGCGTTGCCAAATATCTGGTCTCTATTCCATTGGCTGTTTTGTAGTTTTGCTGTTGTTTTATTGTGATTAATCCTAGATAATCCAAATTGCAAATTTTACTTTGTCTTAATGTTTGATGCTGTGTCGACTAGACTAAGTGTTGTTTTGTGCTTTTGTGGCTAGAACATTAAACCTTTAGATTTAAGTGGATGCCATTTATCACTAAGCTTGCTTTTATTCATGGTGCATTAAATGATTTTATTTGTTCTTCAGTATCTATTGAATGCTTGCAATAGTCCAGGCACACTTCTAAGCACGGGGGGTGTAGCAATAAACAAAAGCATATAAGCTCCTGCTCTCAGAAGCTCACATTCTCATGGGAAAAATGACCGAAAAATGAAGATACGATATAACAGGTGGTGACAAGTAAGAGGAAATGGAGCAGTTTACCTTGGCAGAAGGAAAAGAGGCCTGGGCAGGGATGGCCTTTGAAAAGGTGACATTTGAGCAGAGACATGAGTAGAGATCCTTAATGTCATTGCTTATTGCTGGTTTATGTACATATGGATGTATGCAGGAGGTGTGTGCGTTGCTGAGTAGTAAAGGTTTAAGGATTTAAAGGAACCAGAGTGGTAGTTGTTTGCTAGGTGTCGCACGTTGGGTCCCCCAAAAGCTGACCCTACAAGGTGACCGGCATGCAAGAAGTTTATTCAAGATGCTCTTGGAATCAACCTGTGGAAGGCAAGAGAAGGAAGAGGGCTGGGCAGTAGAAGCTGAGTTGCAGTGCCGTCAAGTGGAGTATCTCAGCTGACCTTACGGGAATTCTGAAGCTAGGGCGACCCTTCAGAGATGTCCTTTGTTTGAGGTGAGGGGCTGGCACGGCCATCAGTCACTGAAGCTGGGCTGTCCGCAGAAAGGCTGTGACCTGGGCCAGGCGCTGCTCTTCATATGACACAATCCCCATGAGGCTGCAGCTGAGGCTGTCTGTCCACCAGCAGTACATTTGCCCCCTGGGGTGGACATCCTCTGCTCCTGAAGATGGCAGCACATCACAGTGTCCACTACTCTCGGACATTGAAAAATACCAGTTTAGGGCTGTAAGGGGGCCCCAAATACCAAACCCCCTCTCTTAGACTTGATGGTTTGCCCTGATAGAGGTTCTCAGAGAAAGCATGAGATGTTCAGGGTTTGGCCTGAATTCCCAGGAGCTGTCCCATGTCATCTTTCCCGATGCTACCACTGTGAGAAAAGGGATCAGGGAGCCACTCGTGTCTCTGCTTGTCTATTGACTTGAAATGACCTTAAGCGTGGACTGGCCCACAATCTAGGAGGAGGCATCAGGTGTGCACAAGATCATTACTCATGGAATTGGTCCTGGGGTCCCTCTGAAGGAGGGGCTGTCCCAATGGACAGACTTTTGAAGTCCCTGGTGCACACCACTCATCGCTGCTTAATGCTGAGTCCCCAGGGCTACTGGCTGCCAGGGCCGCCTGTGACTTTAGAATCCGCAGGACATTCACCATCCCGGGTGGACTTGCTCTGCCTTCTGTCCAGACGCACGGCACCCTCCCTCTTGCAGGTCTCCCTCCGCCTCCTGCTGGAGGTCTTTTCCCATTTCCTCCTCTGGCCCTTCAGCTCTTTGTCATTTTCTGGTGGTTTCCTCTCCTCCAGGCACCGTCTCCCTTTGTCTTGCTCTTTTATGCTTTTTCCTTTTGCCCTTTACTCTCCTTTTTCTCACAGCCTCCTAAACGTTTCCACTTTAAGTTCATTTTTTTCCACATTTTTATCTTTTTTCCACTCTCTTCCCCACGCAATTACTTTTGTCTTCCCTCTGACAGGGGAGCCCCCTTCCGTTCATCTCTCAGAAGCTCACACGGCTGTGCCTTGGATTCCTTTTCCCATTGGGGGGCCATCGAGCAAACTCAGTTCCCAGGGGACCGTACCTGAGCCTGGCCACCTGCTGCCATTTTGCTGGGGATTTTAGCTGCTATGGAAACAGACGATGGGTCAAGGGGAGAGGAGCAGGATAATCAGAATCTACCTGTGGATCAGCGTAATTGAGATGCACAGTTTCTCCAGATCCCTGGTCCAGATTAGCCATCGCAGATTCAAACAGATAGGACACTCGGAGCAAAAACTAAGCCCCTTGGGACTCGCCAGGCCGCGTTCTCCCAGCCACTGATTGTTTGGAGATCAGAGGTGCCACTGGGCTGCTGCCAAGTCTAACTGGCTCTGCAGGCCCCTAGCAGTCAGACCATCATCTTTCCCCACTAAATATTTCCAAAGGAGGCTTATTTTAAATAAGTTAGGACAGGTTTGAGGTTCCTTGAAGAACACGATAGAGCAAGCGGTTGCCGTCCTTTGTCCCGGACTCTATGGGTGGATCGTGTCCCAATCAGCATCATTCTTACACACACACCCATCAACCCCCTGAATGGACAGCTGATCCGGGCTAAGCTCTTTGGCGACAATGATGGCTTCACTGAATTTTCTCTCTCCAGACTGACCTATTTCGTAACTCATGCGTCACTACTTGCAATAAGCTAAGCTTCCTTAGAATATGCATTTCCACCTTGGCCACCTCTTATGTGGAAAAGGCATGCAGAAGTGTTCTCCACCGTTTTATTAGGGGTGTCTCATGCATTTCCACACACACAGAAGCTGGGGGGACTGTCTGGTAGGACTGGGTGGCAGGGGCTTGCCCTCGGGTTGTCTGCCTAGCACTTTACATCAGATGGAGAAAATGCCAGTTGTCCATTTCCAAGGGGAAGAGGGAGGGGAGGCCTCCCAAGCTACCTCTCGCATCACCACTGATCCCGAGAATTAGATTCCCACCTACTGTCTCTGGTAGCATGTTTTTTAAGCTCCCCACATGAATTTGCTACTCCCGAGAGTCCAAGGAGAAAGTGCATTAGCTTTGTAAATGCACCTGCCTGCTTCCGCACTCCTGTTGGGGATGCACGGGTGTTGCAAGCACCTGCACGGGCCTTGGTGTTTTCAAAAGGAAGTGCCCTCACCTCACTGTCTCAAACCAAAACACCGTCTAGATCTGCATGGACGTCTCACGGGGCCGTCTTCCAGTTCCATGTAGTGCTAGGGGATGACTCCAGGTGCAAGTACCACCAGTGTGCACGGGGTCTCCTCAGACACAGTCCCCGCCATGCCCGTGCCTTGTGGTTTGTTGTCTTCTAGGGGTACAAGGATTTATTTTAGCACAGCCCTTAAGCTCTAATGTTTCTGTTACTAAGAGAATGTCTTTAGTGTCCTTGATTCCGCAGGGCCCTCCCCAAGGAAACGGAAACGCATCTCTGTAACTGCAGCCTAAAGGATGCCTGTTAGGACCTCAGGCTTCTTAGAAAAGTGTTCTCAAAACACACTTTTCATGTTTCCAGTTTCTGTCGGGTTGTAAGATCTTTAAAGAGAAGGCCAAGATTTCTATGTTGCCACATTCCTGGGGGCAGAACTTAAAGCTCAGGTGAAGGCATGACTCCGGGCACCGATGCTTGGGTTCCACACGTGGAGTCAGGGGCCTCTTGGGTGTACCTCCCTCTCTCTTTCCCCCACCAAATAAAACACAGAAAGTGAAAAACTCACTGAGGCGCCTGAAAGAACTCCTTGTACCCAGATATCGGTGGGGGCTCAGTAAGGCCGAGTGAGCTGTGTGCAGAGATGTCCTGATCTCTAATTCATGAGTCTTTTGAGACCAGGGCTGCCTCTCACTCATCTTTGACTCTTTACCTCCCAGCACAATGCTCAGCCATAGAAAGCATCCAAGAAATGCTTGTTGATTCAGTGAGCAAGCCCTTATTTGTGCCGGTGCCCCACAGGGGCCTCTTCTCCCAGTTCAAAGGCTTCCTCCTGACCCACGGGGAGCCCTCCTCCACTTAGACGTGTGGTTGAGATCTGGTGTGTTTCCTGCCTGAGCTCTGCTGGCGAGTCTTCAGGACATTTTCTCTGGTCTTCACAAGATCGCCAAGCCTCTCCTGAAGTTCCCTGGTGGGAATCCTGCTGTGGCAGGGCTGGGCTTCTTGAAGGAGACACCCCTTCTCAAGTTCTCTTTCGGAGAAGTTGAGAGGGCTCACCAGTGACTCTGAAGGCAGGTCTTCAGAGAGCTCACTTCTGCCCTCATCACTGCCTCCTGCACTCACGCTCCTGACACGTGTGTTTCTCTGACAGGTTCTTTATCTGGCCTTTCTGGTGATCCTTTAGGTGTCTTACCCTTCTGAACCCTACCTGTGCCTCAACCCTCAGTGGCTCCAAAGAGTTTTGTAAAACAGCCCTAGATAGGGAGAGTTTGTTCAAATACATATGAAATTTTTCTCCTGCTCATGGGTGAAAAAAATAATAAAAATACAAAGAAAACAGCACCAAAAAGAGAAATATCATTTAAAAAATTCTTCCCACTTCCACAGTGTGTGAGTTGAGGTGGAACAGAGATTGATTGAGTGGTTTTCTCCAGGGCCATACAAGACCGTGGGAGCAGAACTAGAGCAGGACCCTACATCCATTGGGTTCCAAGCCAAGCCCTCTGTCAGGAAGCCATGTGCACACATACCTGCAGGGCCAAGCGACCTTTCGCAGCGGCCAGATAG